CGCTGACCGCCACCAGTGCCGCTCCGCTGCGAAGCTCCACTCCGACCACCTCCACCTCCGCCACCCCCGCCTCCGCCTCCACCGCCCCCGCCTCCACCTCCACCGCCGCCACCTCCGCCACCTCCGCTACCACCGCCACCGCCGCCGCCACTCCCGCCTCCAGTGCTGCCACTAGCACCCCCACCCCCACTACCACCTCCACCGCCACCCCCACTCCCTCCGCCGCCTCCACCTCCACCGCCACCGCCCCCACTGGCCCCACCCGCTCCCTTGCCCCCCTTGCCCTTGCCAGAGCGGCGTCTCCCGCTAGGGGCAGACGCCGCACCGACCGACTCAAGACCAACGAGGTCGGCCGCAGCGGCAGAGGCGACAGAGGGCAGGAGAGGGGAAGGAGAACACCCCTCAAAGATGGGGGCGCGGGGGTCACCTCGAGAGGCTCCCACAGCGACTATGCTCTTCTCTGCTGCAAGGAGGGCCTTCTCTAGGCTGTCGACTGTGTGGGTGGTGGGACAGACTGCGAGGAAGTGGTTCCGGACTACACGAAGGGAGTCAGGGAGGCGAGTGACTAAGAAGTAGAGAGTGATGTACATGGGGGGGGGGGGTTCTTGGCGCAGAAGTCAGCAGGAAGCGCAGCGCGGTAGCGAGTGTCACTAGTGCGGAGGTGCGTGATGAGATCAGCGACGGTGGGAAAGGCGGCAAGGTCAGGGCAGAGGAAGGGGAGCATGAGGCGGCTTAGTGCAGCAGTGGAAGGGGAGGAGTAGCGCGCAACTACAGCGTCGTACAAGGTCTGGGCACTCTTGTACTGGCTAAAGTGCGCGCGCTCAGCGGTAGGCAAGTGGCGACGCACAGCAAGACGTGCAGCAGCATCGCGCGTGGCCCACTGTGAGCGAACAGTGGCGTCAGCATCAGCAGCAGGGGAAGGGACGACGCCAGAGGTGAGGTCCAAGAGAGACAGACCGTCCGCCCTATCGCACTGTAAAAACAGCTGTAGGTCGTCGAGCCAGACCTCAAAGTCTATGGCTCGACCCTCAGCGTCAAAAGCGAGGACACTAGGGGTAGCCATGACGACGAGAGTGAAGCAGTGCAAGCAGTAGGGGAAGGGCACGCAGTGAGAGCGGTACAGTGCTCACCGGGCAGGGCAGGTCGGGCGGCTCGGTAGAAAGGCGGCTCGGCTACTCAGCGACTCGGCTCCCGGGCGGCTCGGCTCCCAGGCGGCTCGGCGGTAGGGCGGCTCGGGCGGGGCGGCTCGGCTGCCGGGCGGCTCGGGTGCAGGGCGGTTCGGCTGCACTGCTGCTCGGCGGTACGACGGCTCGGCTGCTGCAGGTGGGCGGCTCAGCTGCTGCAGTTGGGCGGCTCGGCTGCTGCAGTCGGGCGGCGCGAGAGCAAGGGGCGGCGGGGCCGTGAGTGCTGGGGCTGCGGGGCCGCGAGACCAGGGGCGGCGGGGCCGCGTAGTAGGGGCGGCGGGGCCGGGAGCGCTTGGGGCGGCGGGGCCGCGAGATCAGGGGCGGCGGGGCCGTGAGCGCTGGGGCGGCGGGGCCGCGAGATCAGGGACGGCGGGGCCGTGAGATCAGGGGCGGCGGGGCCGGGAGCGCTGGGGCGGCGGGGCCGCGTATCAGGGGCGGCGGGGCCGGGAGCGCCGGGGCGACGGGGCCGCGTATCAGGGGCAGCGAGGCCGGAAGCGCTGGGGTGGCGGGGCCGCGAGATCAGGGGCGGCGGGGCCGTGAGTGCTGAGGCGGCGGGGCCGTGAGATCAGGGACGGCGGGGCCGCGAGCGCTTGGGCGGCGGGGCCGCGAGATCAGGGGCGGCGAGGGCCGCGCTTTCAGGGTCAGCGGGGCCGCGAGATCAGGGGCGACGGGGCCGCGAGATCAGGGGCGGCGGAGCCGCGTGAGGAAGGGCGGCGAGGGCTGCGAGAGCAGGGCGGCGAGGCCGCTAAGGCGGCGCGAGGGCGGGCAGCGGGGCGCGGGCGCTAAGGCGGCGCTCGGGCTGCTAGGGCGGGCGGCTCGCTAAGGCGGCGCTCGGGCCGTTAGGGCAGATCGAAAAAAAAGTAAGAGCAAGGGCCCGGAGCGCGCTCCGGGCAGAAAAAAAAAAAGGTTCGATGTGGTGGGCCCTAAGCACAGTTCCCACGGGGGAACCTGCTCGATACCATGAGAAAGTAAGAACGAGAATGAAATGACTATGAATGAAGTGAGTACAAATAGGAAACTCTAGTTGGGTTGTACCCCCTATGGGATACCCCACTATAGCCTACACAAATAAGTAAGCTATAATATTTTGACAGCAGTCTGAATCAAAGCATCGCGAGTCAACCCTCGGAGGTTAGGGTAACCGCCTGGAGGTTACGCGAAGGTCAAAGGTCAGCGACCTTTGACTTGACAAATACAACGCGACAGCAAGGACACACAACTGACTCGACATTGAGCAGTTGCCCGAGTCGCACTGTATCGAATCGCAACAGCAAAACAGTTTAACTATATCTATTCGTATTCCTTGTACTCTTATATAAAGCTTTGTATTTGCTTGCTTTAATCAACTTACTTTGCCCTTACATACCGGCGCAAGGTGGTTCAAGGCTTTCTTATTCAACGCTTCCGCTATTACAATCCTACTCAGACTTTAAGCTCTACAAATATCCTAGGGCACCTCAGCTCAACACACACAACAAATTAAGCAAACCTAGATGCATCTCTAGCAAGGAAAGTTGATCCGAAAAACTCCAAACACTTGCAAATCCATGTAGAGTGCATAAAATCTCGGAAAAGAGAAGAAGGCGGACGAATGCATACTAGGGACATGTGAGTAGACACTGTAGTAGAAGTTGTTGCGACTGCAGGTTACAGTAGCTGGAGATTTGGCCCTTGCATCTGGGACCTGAGGTGAAGAACGGAGTGGGAAGGCAAGGAAGCTAAACAAGCAGTGGAAAATCAGGTAGACACATCATCTATGTATGGTACTTCTGAAACAATTGTCAACAAATTGTCGGGAAGTGTGCCTGAGAGGATGTGTTAGCGGATAGGCCAGAGGGCGCGTTTGTCTGTGTGCACCCATACGTTACATGTAAGTGTGGGTTAACACACGGTGCACTCACAGCAAGCAAGCAAAAGAACCAAACCACAACATCCAGCACACCTAGAAAACAGACCAGGAATTGAGTGGCAACCAGCCATTGACGTAACTCGCAAAAAGCAGCGCGACATGACCGCCCCCCTCAAGATAACAGAAGCATGGGAGGCGGCGGTGACAGCAGAATCGCAGCGATCGATAAAAACAGATGGCTGCTACATTGTATGCGATCACGTGCAGGTAGACGGCCACACACTGGGGGAGGGAGAGGCGTGGGAGAGCAGCAGATGCACCAGGTGCAATGCCGAGGGGCAGGTGATGGGAGGGGAGACGAGGGGTGAAAAAAGTTGTCTAAATAGCAGGGAGAGAGAGGAGGCATGGGCGAGCAGGAAATAGGAAATGCACCAGGTGAGATGCTGCGAGTTGGTGTGGGAAGAGGGCAAGTACACGATGGAATGGAAGGTCGGATTGGCCTTGGCGCCTTCTGAGACGACTTTAAGGTGAACTTGGTGCGGGAAGACGGGCAGCTGCATAATAAATAGTTGTTGGTATTATACGGCGGTGGTTGTTTCCTGCGCTTTGTTGAGAGGAAAATACTGTGAGGCAAGATGTGAGATAAGATGGGATGGTATCGGCAAGAAGCAATGCGGATGCCCTGAAATAACCAATAAGAATGTAATGAATTTTAAGCTACCAAACCAACGCGATGGCTTTTTCCCAACGCAAAGCAGTTGCACACATGTTTGGTACGACCTGCAAGCAAGTGCTGCCCCGCAGCAACGTCTGATGGATCTATTGTTTGGCACACCTATTCAATGAGCTAATCTCGCTAACACATTGTAGTTGAGTGCGATCACATCACAGCAGCAGTGCAGCAAGAGTGCGTCGGTTACAGCAGCAGCATGGCAGTGAGAGCCAGGCCAATGGAGGCAAGTAGGTGGAAGATGGAAGCAGTGGCTCCTGCAGGAGAATGGGGAACAAAGAAGCAGGGTCTGACGACATCTTGTAGAATCTTCAAGTGGTGCAACATACGAGAAACAAGTTTGGCCAGTTTAGGGTGATTGCATGTGTGCGCGAGCATGATTGTGCGCGAACGTGATTGTGCGAGAGCATGATTGTGCGCGAGCGTGATTGTGCGCTTCACATGAATGAGTGGATAGGTGAGGGTATGCGGTGTGCGTGATGGTGTGTGGTTCGTGCCAGGGTGTGTGGTGTGCGTGGATCTCTGTGTGTCTGCGTACCTGCATACGCGCTAAGAGCCTCCATGTTATAAGGCAAAAGCACCGCATCACTTGTATACACCACGACCTCGTTCTCCGGAGAATCATATGCAACGTCTTCAGAACTCTCCACCGTATATGCAAACGGGCTCCCATCCGTTTCCACATAGCGCTCGACTTTAGGCAGCGGAGAGGTGGCGTGCTGCTGGGGAGACATGCCTGAAAAGTTCCACATTCTGCCATACAAAGAATCGGCGCCAATGTCACACGTCGCACATCATCTCAAAAATGTCGGGTCTATTTCCGGGCGTTAACATCCATACTTTGGTTGTAAACAATGTATTTATGCCCAATAATTGCCCGGCTGTAAATAAGGCAGACTTTAGCCGTTTCCGGGTCGATAATTGCCGGACCGTTAATTACCGGGGATGGCCCTTATTGGCTGTAAATCAGCATGGCGCCGGGGTCAGAGTTCTCCACTTACTGGGGTTGAGATGGCAGTGAACCAGAGTGCCATTCACAGTTGTTTCTAGTTCTGATAAAAAAAGGCAAATTGTCCTTGTTTACAGTCATTCAAAAGCCACCATAACTAGGCCTGAACTTCCTGAAAACACCCAATCATTAATTAATGATAGCACCCTAATAATAGTAATAAAAAACAATGTGATTATCAAATTACTGTACAAAATTTGAGCATACATTAGAGCAGCAAAACTACAATTAGAAAACCAGGGTTCCTGGCAGCAACCCAGCAAACTCGTCCTCAAACCCTGCGATCACAATACGCACTAACGGGTTTGCTCCCATCTGAAAGCCTGCAGGGGCAGTGTCGCGATAGATATTATCCCCACGGGATAACCTATCCTTAATCCAATCAATAATCACCCCCACTTTCAGCTGCACTTCCCTCCTGTTGTTCGAGTCACTACCATCTAGGGCAGGCGTGTCACGGCTCCCCGCATTTGCCATGGGCCATTCAACCTGCAGGGTACATTTGAAAATATATGGGAAAATGGGGAGCAGGGATAGAGAGGGTGTGTTGGAAAAAATCAGGACGGTGAGGGACAGGTGCATAGCAGAATGGGGAGCACAGAGAGAGAGGGTGTGCTCGAGCAAAACCTGGATCGTTGGCAAGGGAAACAAACAAGCAAGGGAAACAAACTCACCACATGGCAAATCGTTGCCACCACTGGGATCTTGGCAAACATCGTCTTACACCTGCGACCGCCAAGTCCCTTGCAGAGCGCCATATCAAACGCCTTGTTGGCGAACGGGCGCCCCGTGTCAGGATCGCAGTGCCACTTGCTGCCATAAACGGCTGCAAGCACAGAAATCAGCTCGATGTAAGCACAATACATGTGGATCTCAGGAAAAAACGGCTGGAAGTGCTCGGGGCATGCAACGTTAAAACGAGCCGAGTACTTACGATCGAAATAGAAAAGGTGCCACTGCTGGACGTTGCGGCGCTGCACCGGCGCCATGTTCTCAGCAGCCAGCATGGGAATCTTCGATTCCCTGACGAACCCGCCTGGCCCATGTGCCCACGTCTTGACCTGCGTGAAGAGGTTGCCCCGACGCTCGCCGACCTTGTCTTTAAGAATCCTCTCCCGTTCCGGGTGAGAGTTCATGACAAGGTTGAACGTTTCCTCAGAAACGTTCACCAGCTGATACGTACGGATGAGTTGCTGCCTCAACTCCTGCGGCTCAGGCCAGAAGTTAATCTCCCTCGGGGGAGCCTCAGCAACGAAGTAGAGAACCGCTTGGTTGCACTTTGCCTGCCATGCACAAAACGGAAATGCAAAGTGCAAGATATCGGTTGAAGGCAAGCATGTATGGATCCATGGCTCTACCAACCAAGCATTGGTTGCGAGGGTGGGTGGGTGGGAATACGAGGTTGGAGCAAGAGCCAAGGTACAGAAGGTACGGGGGTGGGTGGGCGGGAATACGAGGTTGCGAGCATAGGATGAAGGTACGAGGGTGGGTGGGTGGGAATACGAGGTTGCGAGCGGAACATTGAAGGTATAAACGTATGACAGGCGGCGCGTACTCAGAATCAATGCCCACGGCTTACCGTGAAAAAGGTGAGCTCGGTAAGCGATTCCGGAAGCTTGGTCGAAGGTTCACGAGCATCTGGTCGAGGTGTTGGGGTTCCCGGATAAGCGAGGGGGGTGCCAAGGGAGCGAGAGGCGTTTGGCGCGAGCAGCGCAGGAATCACGGAGGTTGCCAACGAGCGTCCGACCGCCCCAGGTGCGACTGCAGGCGCCAGAGTTGAACGGTGATCGTTGAGGCCTCGCAAAGTGCTTGCAACGTTGACGGGCAGCGCGGAAGACGTTGAGGCCGGCCTGCTTGCCTGGAGCAATTGATTCGCCCGCTGACTCTCCTCCAGTTGCCGCCGAACGCCCGCCAATGTCTCCTGCTGCAACTCAACCGTGCGCTGCTGATCAGAAGCTGCAGCCTGGGCTCTGTCAACAGGCTGAACAACTTCTGCAAAACACCATGCATATCACATCACAATCATACGGGCACCATACACCACAAACACGTAACACGTTAAAATATGTCAGGCGTCCATCTCTGCAAAAAAAGTAAAAGAATGGCGGGTGTCTTATATAAGTACCTTGCATGTTGCTGTGAATGGCAAGACATGGGCAGAAACGGTTTACGATAAAAAAAAACCTTATACATCCTCACCTTTCCGTATCGTCTGGCGTTTGCGCTTCTGCTTCGACGTAGTGTTAGGAGCACCGCCATGCATAGCAGCAACGGAACCCTTCTTGCGCCTAGGGAAGGAGCGGTCGTCGTCACCGCTGTCGTCGTCGGCCTCGCTTTCGCCACTGACGTTTTCGTCCGCATCGTCCGCTGCTTCTAGAGCCGGCGAAAGTGTGACAGGCAAGTTACCGTCAGCAGATCCAGCGTCTAGTATTGGGTCTACCTCGGGCTCTAATGGCAAATCGCGACCTACGTCAGCCTTGTCAGCACCGTGCTCGTCCGACGACAGCTGGTCGTCGACGAGATCTGGTGCGACGAAGTTGGCAGAGTCAGAAGTGGAGGAGCTCTTGCGGGTGAACTCAGCACTGACTTGAGAGAGCAAAATTTGAAGTTGCTCAGGCGACATCCCATGCAGATTTATGGTCGAGTTATCAGGCTGGTTACCGGCTGAACCTTCGTTCGCAGCCATAACAGAATGTCTTCGCCCAGGTAACGTAACACCAAGTGCGCCATTATTGTACCTTGCAGGCACCACAACGGGTCTTTGAGGGCGGCCTGGAGGAGGATCATTTCCAGGAAGGGTAATAGGGCGTTGGTTCACCATCTCGGCAGAAACAAAAACTGGGGTTTGAGCTGAATAGTCGCACAAACCATATTTCTACAATCGTTTGCAGCTGAGAAAAATTGGCGGGGAGCTCCTGATTGGTCGTCGCAAGTGGTTGGAAGTCGCTGGGGCGATTGGTCGAGCTCTGTACCAAGCGACATCGTTGCTGTTGCAGCGCGACATGAGCAATATCGCACACCCTCACCGTGGGCTCACGACGAATCGCGATACCGCACTGCAGTCAGTTTCCGTGGAGGTGACCACAGTACATCCTCCACGTGGACCTAGACGAAGGTATTCCAGCAAACGTGGCGACTCCAACTCAAAAGCAGGGGAAACACGGTGACTGTATTAGCTGGAAACATGAGTTTTATGGAAACGATTTCAAGCGCACGTCACTCCCTTCTCCCACAAAGTAGGTACACGATTGTGGTGCCTGCTTTTTCAAAATTTGTACAACAATCAGTACTCAATATATACAAATATACAAAAAAAGCCATCAAAACAGAAAATGGTTGAGGAACCATGTCTGGCCTGCAGACTCAAGCTGCACTAATTGAACAGCTCTAAGAATGGAAGCTGTCTCTACAACCATGTACCTTTGAGAAACCCCTTCTAAACTGAATTGCCGGCAGCCGGTCAATTCATCTAACGCGTCATGCTCGATATAATACCTCACGAATGCGAATTCGCGTCGATCTAGACCATGGCCGACATGGAATAGTAGCAGAACCTTGCCGTACCACTCCGATCCTGTACCTTGGATAGCAATATCACTGAACCAAACTTTCTTGTGGAATAGCGGAACCGCTCGGATACGGTGTGGGGTGCTAGAAAAAGCCTCGTCCGTCGCGGGTGGCATGGCCAACTCAACATGAACCTGTACATCAGTTGTGTGCCACATATTGCATCATTAGTAAAGGCATAACGTAATTGTTGCCGGGAGTGCAACAAACAAATGCGTGCTAAGGGTAACGTACGTAAATTGTGTCGATGTTCGGGCCGTTGGGTACGTCACGATTGATGGAACGACGAAGATATGGGAGGTCGTTATGTAGGCTGTCCAGATACAATTGGTCTCGCTTTGGGTCAGGCTTGGAGAATCCGACGTATGGGTGCTCGCGACGACGCGCGTGAACGATCAACCCCCATGAACTCTTAGAGAGTGTACGTGCTCCTATCTTCAATGCCTGTACAAATTTCATGAAAAAATCATACTGGTACCATCCTTCAACATGAGAAAAGTAAGGCTTGATTGTCACTGTAAAATATACGTACCTGACGCATTGCATTACTGTATTCGTGTGTAGTGTCCAAGTCGGCTTGAGGTAGCGAATCCAGTTGCAAGCGTACCTCCTCCGCTTGGATGATTTGTCCACCCGCGTCACGCTTGTTGGATGCACGGTATGGCCTCTTGATATGGTCCTTGTGAAAGTGCTCAAACATGCTTGCATCATAGTGGAGTGGAGGGCCTGCACGGCGAATTGCGTCGATGTAGTGACTCATCAAGTGGGTCTTGATAAATCCCCATTTGTAGAGAGGGAAGCTCTTTTTTAGAAGCTCAATTAACCTGCAAATACACTCACACAAGATGTAGTCAGGTCGAAGGGCATATTACAATTATGTACATGCAATTTAGAAAGCGTACGAACCTCTTGGATTGTTCCTCGAGTTTTGTCAAGGTTTCCTCGTCATAGTCTCTCGTCTTCCCACACGTGTGATACCACTCGATGTATGCCACAACAGCGTCCATGTGTGGTTTCGACACATAGTCTCGAATGAGGAAAGGAAGGATTTGCATGACAGACCTGTGCTCGTAAGCTTGGAACGAAGCACCTAGACGGAAATACTCTCCAGATGGTAGGCGCAAACCATCAACCCGACATGTCAACTTCAACTGCTTCAAGATGCTGCAAGGAAGGAGAGAGAGATACATTAGTCTTATGCACTGTGGAACATTAGAAAGAATGGTGTCAAGCAATGTAACGTACTCGTCAATGGCGACGTGGTATTTTTGATCAATGACCCCTCTCAAGGCGGCAATAATGTGCTCCAGCATGCCAAGATCAGCCTGATGCATTAGGTCTGGCATCACCGCCATATAAGGGCTGCCCCACGGCTCTGACTCGAAACGGAAGCCATGAAGCGCGCACTGCGTCGGGTTTAGAATGGCAGGAGAGTGTTGAGTGAAACATGACTAGTATATGACGCAAGAACAATGGATTGTTTTGCACATACCTCTACATGATGAGTGCTGTAGGTTTGCGGGTGAGGCCCACCTCGTTGCCGTGCAGAGACGGCCTTGTAGATGACATCTTGTTCTTCGGATGAGCGATATTCGTCTCTCTGCATGAAAGAGTCTAACTCAGTTTTGTGGACCTTGCATAAGGAACAGGGGTATAATGTACCTAGAGACTTGGTGCAGGTGAGTTTGCACGTCTCTGGGTAGTCCGCCACATAGGCGTATAGTGCTGGGTAGGCCGTGAAAACGTGACCAGACTGGTCATGCACACGGGTCCCCCTGAAAAATTGAAATGTGGGCAACGGGGCAAAGAGGTAAGACAACTAGAGAGAAGGGAAGCATGGGCACAGCAATCCGAGAAGGAGGGTACGGGGATGAGAGGAGGGAAGTAAAGGACGCAAAAGGGCAGCGACGTTGGAAATATGCTAAGAGCGAAGCATGGGGCAGCAATCTGAGAAGGAGAGGAGAGAGATGAGTAGGAGGGCAGTCACAGAAGCAAGGCCCATTGTGTTGAAAGGAAGTGCATCATGTGGCGAGCATGGCGAGCAGGGTAGGTCAGGGATGAGTATGGGGGCACTTACACGTGTGAAGCATCTTTCAATGGTTGAAGAACGAGGTGCAAGACATACTGGAAGATCTGCAGTCGGTCAACCGACGTGTACTCCGCCGGAAACTCCGGTAACGTTGCAATGAGCGCATGCCCGTATGGCTTCCAGCGATCCTCATGATGAATGTTTCCCAATGACATGTAGATGGGATGCCCCTTAGCTTTTCCTCTGCCGTCAGCTATTGTCTCATCCGACGAGAGAATGAGAGTGGCAACGACGTCGTCGATGCGGAGGCGATCCTGTTGGGGGGTTGGAAAAAGGCTTCTGAGGGAGATACAAAGACAGGATGTGAGGGGCTATAGTTACAGAGTTAAAGACAGTGAGAGAGAGGGATGTGCTTGGGACAGACGGTGTAGCAAGTACAGGTTGGGAGGGGCTACAATAACTGAGAGTAGGGCCAGATTATTGAAAGAAGCGCAGGGGAGAGAAGGAATGGCAGGGAGAGGAAGAGTGGGACCGGAAAACCAGAATGCGGGGCAAGGCGTGAGAGGGAAGCGTAGGGGAGAGAAGGAATGGCATGGAGAGGTAGAGTGGGACTGGAAAACCAGAATGCGGGGCAAGGCGCGTGAGGGAAGCGCAGGGGAGAGAAGGAATGGCAGGGAGAGGTAGAGTGGGACTGGAAAACCAGAATGCGGGGCAAGGTGCGAGAGGGAAGCGCAGGGGAGAGAAGGAATGGCAGGGAGAGGAAGAGTGGGACTGGAAAACCAGAATGCGGGGCAAGGCGTGAGAGGGAAGCGTAGGGGAGAGAAGGAATGGCATGGAGAGGAGGAGTGGGACTGGAAAACCAGAATGCGGGGCAAGGTGCGAGAGGGAAGCGCAGGGGAGAGAAGGAATGGCAGGGAGAGGAAGAGTGGAAAACCAGAATGCGGGGCAAGGCGTGAGAGGGAAGCGTAGGGGAGAGAAGGAATGGCATGGAGAGGTAGAGTGGGACTGGAAAACCAGAATGCGGGGCAAGGCGTGAGAGGGAAGCGTAGGGGAGAGAAGGAATGGCAGGGAGAGGTAGAGTGGGACTGGAAAACCAGAATGCGGGGCAAGGTGCGAGAGGGAAGCGTAGGGGAGAGAAGGAATGGCAGGGAGAGGTAGAGTGGGACTGGAAAACCAGAATGCGGGGCAAGGTGCGAGAGGGAAGCGCAGGGGAGAGAAGGAATGGCAGGGAGAGGAAGAGTGGGACTGGAAAACCAGAATGCGGGGCAAGGCGTGAGAGGGAAGCGTAGGGGAGAGAAGGAATGGCATGGAGAGGAGGAGTGGGACTGGAAAACCAGAATGCGGGGCAAGGTGCGAGAGGGAAGCGCAGGGGAGAGAAGGAATGGCAGGGAGAGGAAGAGTGGGACTGGAAAACCAGAATGCGGGGCAAGGCGTGAGAGGGAAGCGTAGGGGAGAGAAGGAATGGCATGGAGAGGAGGAGTGGGACTGGAAAACCAGAATGCGGGGCAAGGTGCGAGAGGGAAGCGCAGGGGAGAGAAGGAATGGCAGGGAGAGGAAGAGTGGGACTGGAAAACCAGAATGCGGGGCAAGGCGTGAGAGGGAAGCGTAGGGGAGAGAAGGAATGGCATGGAGAGGTAGAGTGGGACTGGAAAACCAGAATGCGGGGCAAGGTGCGAGAGGGAAGCGCAGGGGAGAGAAGGAATGGCAGGGAGAGGAAGAGTGGGACTGGAAAACCAGAATGCGGGGCAAGGCGTGAGAGGGAAGCGTAGGGGAGAGAAGGAATGGCATGGAGAGGTAGAGTGGGACTGGAAAACCAGAATGCGGGGCAAGGCGCGTGAGGGAAGCGCAGGGGAGAGAAGGAATGGCAGGGAGAGGTAGAGTGGGAGTGGAAAACCAGAATGCGGGGCCCGGCGCGTGAGGGAAGCGCATGGGAGAGAAGGAATGGCAGGGAGAGGTAGAGTGGGACTGGAAAACCAGAATGCGGGGCAAGGCGCGTGAGGGAAGCGCAGGGGAGAGACGGAATGGCAGGGAGAGGAAGAGTGGGACTGGAAAACCAGAATGCGGGGCAAGGCGCGTGAGGGAAGCGCAGGGGAGAGACGGAATGGCAGGGAGAGGTAGAGTGGGACTGGAAAACCAGAATGCGGGGCAAGGCGCGAGAGGGAAGCGCAGGGGAGAGAAGGAATGGCAGGGAGAGGTAGAGTGGGACTGGAAAACCAGAATGCGGGGCCCGGCGCGTGAGGGAAGCGCATGGGAGAGAAGGAATGGCAGGGAGAGGTAGAGTGGGACTGGAAAACCAGAATGCGGGGCAAGGCGCGTGAGGGAAGCGCAGGGGAGAGACGGAATGGCAGGGAGAGGAAGAGTGGGACTGGAAAACCAGAATGCGGGGCAAGGCGCGTGAGGGAAGCGCAGGGGAGAGACGGAATGGCAGGGAGAGGTAGAGTGGGACTGGAAAACCAGAATGCGGGGCAAGGCGCGAGAGGGAAGCGCAGGGGAGAGAAGGAATGGCAGGGAGAGGTAGAGTGGGACTGGAAAACCAGAATGCGGGGCCCGGCGCGTGAGGGAAGCGCATGGGAGAGAAGGAATGGCAGGGAGATTGTGGTATAGCAGAATGGGGAGCAGGGACATAGTGGGTGTGCTGGAAAAAATTAAGGACGGCCAGGGAGGGGCAAGGAAAGGCGGGCATGGCAGAATGGGGAGCAGGGAGAGAGGGGGTGTGCTGGAATATTTATGAACGGTCAGGGATAGGTGCAAAGTAGAATGGGGAGGCACTCACTTGCACGTCGTTCCAAAAATTGCCGGTTTCGGGGGCGTCATACACCCTCACGCCCCTCACTCTCTTTCTATGCGCACGTGTAACAAGCGGATGGCTAAGTCTTGGTTCACTCAACAAATCTTGTAGGGCCTGCAAATGTTTAGCCATGTGGGAATGAGGGATTAGTGGGGCGCTGAAAAAAACATGAGCAAACACTCCAACATACCTTCAAGGTGTCACAGTACCAAAAGTTCAAGAATGCCTTTGTTCCAACGCGAGTGACCCCCTTCTTCCACGAACGGTCACAGTCAGCCACTCTCGATTGCACATGTCGGTACACATCTCGCGAAGATCTCCATTCCGCAACGTCATCCCACGATGCGCCTTCATGGCTAAGAATCTTAAATAATTTAGCTACCGAACGTTGAGATACACGCTCTTGGAGAATCCAGCGTGCCAATTCATCCTTGAAGGAGAATGGAGCTGCGGGGCGCGGATTAGATCCGTTGGGAATATGAGAAACTTCGTCGATCCCACTCGAGTCACTCATGCGTGCCATGAATGCCTCGGGATCATCGGCGGCACGAGCGGCTGCCGCATCTACACCGTCCTCATCGGCTGGCTCATCAAACGTAGGTGGTACGAATACGTTTTCACTGCTGGAAGGACTCCACAAGCGCCGACGTTGAGCGGGAGGTTGGATTGGTGGGGAATCTGACGCCTCTGCGCCTCTGGATGCAGCAGCTATTCTGCAAGCCGCACTACCTCTATGCGATTCTAGAGCAGAATACACGTAGAAAGGCCCCGAACTACAGTCTGGGCATTCCATAGTGGCGGATGCAGGACTAATTTCTGTGTATTGAAGGCAAAAAGAAAAACAAAGCATGAGTGATTTGCATCAATATTATACTCCCCTGGTTGAGATGATGTGAAGCGTGTGAACACTTTAGTTGTCGTGAGATGTAGTGCTGAGATTCAGATTCAAGTCGAAGGGGTGTGCATTAGGGCGCGTCATTCTAGTATCATTCTCAATCGATACCCATCTCAACCGAATTGTTTGTTTATTAAAGCGTTTACAATTGTGCAGCGTCGTATTGCACTGCATTCCCCCGAAGAAAAAGGACGGGCACTTACGAGCCGCGCATTTCACTCACACATGTCAAATCGCATCGCGAATTTTACACTTCGCGATTTTTGAACTTCGAGTGACGTTGCGACATTCCCGTTAGCCAATACGGTCGTTCAAAATATTGGCCAGCGAAAAAGTGCTGTTTGGAGAACCGAATTGGATGCGACCAATAGGAAGAAACCACGCACTCCCAAAAAATATCACAGTGCGTTTTGACTTCGTATGACCAAGGCGTCACGAGATTTCAAGAACCGTGACATACACCTGCTTGCGACACAAAATCTTCCCGCACGAAGATGCCACGTTTTCTGCTTGCAAACACGGGGGTTTCGCCCAATAAATTTTACAGTCAATGACTAGTTCCGATTACAACGACAACATCACGCCAAATCAAAATCGATCTCAACCGCACGAAAAAAAGTTGGAGTTTGGGCCGTTGATGTGAAATGTAACGGAGCGCGACACGATATCCTACGCTGCCACGGCTGATTCCCTGCCAAACACAAGTGAAAAACAGCCATAACACAACCAAAAACGAGCATTTGCCACATCAGCCTGTGGATAGAAATTAACACCCCCTCCCCAAAGCCTGTGATAATCGAAATATTGCCACCACCGTTAACAGATGGTTCGGCATTTTTGAGATGATGGAGTGTATGTCATCCAGAGCGGTTGCCCTTCCATGGTTGCAAGTTCCCACGGCCCGCCAGATGAGTACTGCAAGTAAGATAGAGGGAGGATGATCGAACGGTGAGGACATAGACACCGCGGAAAAGGAAATCGCAATAAACCAACGGAAAAGTTACTGACTCACATACAAGATAGGTGGTTAACTATTTACAGCCCATCATGGGCCGCTTGCAATGCGGTCACTGCAATCACTGCGATCACTGCAATCTGTGATCACTGCAATCTCTGTGATCACTGCAATCTCTGTGATCACTGCAATCTCTGTGATCAGTGCAATCTCTGTGATCACTGCAATCTCTGTGATCACTGCAATCTCTGTGATCACTGCGATCTCTGTGATCACTGCGATCTCTGTGATCACTGCGATCACTGCGACCGCGGCGGTCCAGGCAAGCTATTCGTTGACTTCACTTTTCAGAGACTCACCTTCTGCTTTGCCACGGAGGGCGGAATGTATTGATTCACAATCTGAAACTTCCAGATATCCAGCAGAACTTTCGTGACAGCAGGGGAGAGCAACTTCTGTGAGGCGGCGGTCCACCTCGTTTCTGAATTGCTGGCTGCGTACATGAGCGTGAGCGCGTCCGCGATCGCCTGGTTGTACTTGCGCGTGGTGTTATCATGGCTGGCGTAGGTTTCGCCATCGGGAATGTTGCCGGATCGCGGGACGAGAATCGTCACGCCCGAGATGTCTTTGGTGCCGTCCAGCGCGAACAGACGCTCCATATGAACGTAATAAATGCCATTTGACTTCATGGTTGATATCATCTCGCTCACGGGCAGGGCACGGGTGGTTGTGGGCAGCTGGGAGAGCAGCGCCACAAGCAGCAGAGCCACGGCGGTGCCGGAAATATGATGCAGGAAAAATGGTCGTCCGGCCATCGCGTTTGTCTGGAATCAGGAGCACGTGTGCGAGAGGGGTGGTGCTTGCGGGAAAGGTGGAACTTTGGGGACGAGAAGGTGAAGACGACGAGACCTTTTATGTTCGGCGTGACAGATCTCCCCAATTCACGACGAAGTGCTTTTCGCTGCTGCTCGTAAATGCCAGCCTCGCTGGAGTCTTGCCTGGTCAGCAGTCCAGGCTTGCTCGCGGGGACCCCTCCAAAGATCGTTGACCCGAATAGAACGTGCCAGCGCATCTGGTTCGGGTGGAGTTGACCATTCACACTGCGGCATGTATCTGGTAAACGCATTCCCGATTGGCCGTGCGTCGTCCTGCTGGCATTCCCATGAAACTTGACACCTAGACCACAAGGAATCTGCATCCTTACGAACCGACCCGGGGTAACTGTTCTAAGGACGAGAAAGACTCGGGAATGAAAAAAGCTGGTAAGAATGACCATACAATTTAGACATTCTACAACAAATTCTAAGCAAGCCTAGATGCATCTCTAACAAAGAAAGTTGATCTGAAAAACTCCAGACATTTGCAAACCCAGGCAGAATGCATAACTGTTCTGAGAAGAGAAAGTGGTGGGCGAACGCCCACAAGGGACATGGCAGCAGACACCGCAGAAGAAGCCGATGTGAGTGCAGGCTGTAGTAGTTGTACAGCCGGCCTTTGCAACTGGTACCTGAGGTGAAAACAGAGTGGGGAGGCAAAAAGAGAAAGAAGAATTGGAAGAATAGGTATATATACGTACGATCCATTCGTGGCTCCCATACGTACAATAGTTGACACATTTACCCTTGGAGGACAGCGTCTGGCGATCTGTGCTAGAAAGGCACAGTGCCGTCGTAGCAGAAGCCTTGATTGTATGATTAGAATAGCAAGAGAAACCTTGCAACTGAAAGGATTCAGCCCAATGGATTGGCTTGATTATGAGATCACACAGCAAGGCATTTATGCTATCAGCTACCCTAACCATATCCACCCATCCACACCAGTAATTGTACTACCAATAATGGTGACTCCAATAAAGGAGTACCAATAATTCCACCCCCATAACTCTAGACTCCAATAATGCAGCCACTACAATAATTGTACAATTATTGTAAACCCTGGAGTGTGAAGAAACGAGGAATCAATTCACTAGGCAAAATGTGGGTACAAGTAGGAAACCCTAGAAAAGTGTTGTACCCCATATGTGCTACCCCACTATAGCCTACACAGACTCTAGCATATAACTCTCTCACACCCCCATAGGCAAAGTGGGGGAGAACAAGGGGTTACACGACCAGTCAAGCAGAGCAAGCAAAACAAGCTCAGGGTGGATCCCAACGTCACCACACATTCCGAGCACAAGTTCAAAGGCCGCAAGGCCAGTTCACATGCAAGATCATATATAAAGGTAAACAAGCAAGTGCAGGTATAGGTAGATCACAGTACATGCAAGGTCAAGAAGTGAGCAACTGAGGCCAAGTAGGCACAAGACTTAGCATCGTATGGCACCGCTGATGATCACAAGGCGGAAGTGCCTTGGTAAAGATATCAGCAGTGTTGGCCTCAGAGGCCACGAAAGCAAGGCGTAACTGTCCACGCTGCTGCAGCTCACGAGCAAGGAAGCAGCGAAGAGCAATGTGCTTCGTTCTGTGCTCCAGTCTGTGCTTCCGACACAAGGCCAGCATGGCCTTGTTGTCTACGTACAGAACTGGAAGAGAACTAGGCAGCTCTCCTAGGTCAGTCACCAAGTAGGTGAGCCAGCGTAGCTCCTGTGCAGCCATGGCCCCTGCGTAGATCTCAGCCGCACAGCTGGAGCCGAGAACAGAAGACGAGCGGGTAGACCGCCATGAAACAGAGCCGGAACCAAGGCTGAAGGTGTAACCCTGTGACGACCGCTGCGTAGCCTGGTCGTCAGCCCAAGAAGCGTCTGCGTGACCTCTAAGGACCACTGAACGCCGCCCTCCAAGCACTAGCCCCATGCCCGACGTACTGCAAAAGTAACGCAACACCCTCTTCGCTGCAGCCATGTGCTCTGGTCGGTGTCTCCAAGGAGCGACATAGCGTGCCAAGATGCTAAGAGGGTATGCGAGGTCAGGTCGTATGCAAGTCATCAGGTACATGAGGCAGCCAACAAGCTCTGGGTACGGGCCACTCGGCTCTACGGACTCATCCGAAGGCAGAGCTGAGAGCGAGTGGTGAGTAGACAGAGGAGTGGCCTGAGGCAAGGAGTACGTGAAGTCGAAGTGCTGAAGGACCTGCTGCACCATGTGTGACTAAGTCAGGGTAATGGTGCACTGTGCTCTGTCCTGGGTGATCTGCAAGCCAAGGTAGTTGCGCAGTTCACCCAGGTCTGTGCACGTGTGTCTCTTCTGCAGCTCGGACTTCACGTGGGCGAGTCCAGCAGTGTCAGCAGTGGCAAAGACCAAGTCGTCGACGTACAATAGGATGTAGAACAGCGGCAAAGAGGTGTCGGTGCGCAGAAACAGCGACGGGTCGGCAGTAGAAGGAGCAAACCCAAGAGTCGCAAGTGTAGTCCTCAGTGTGTCGTGCCTCTCACGTGGCGCCTGGCGGACACCGTAGACTGACCGCCGGAGGCTTCACAGGGTACCAGGAGGAAACGACCCAGTGAAGCCAGGTGGGCGGCGCAGCCAGATCTCCTCGTGCAGGTTGCCCTGCAAGAAAGCTGTGCTGAAGTCAAGAGAGTGAAGCTCGTAGTCGCGCTGAGTGGCTATGTGCAGCAGCACCCGAAGAGTGGTCATCTTCGGGGTGGGAGAGAAGGTATGCAAATAGTCACCTCCAGGCTCAAGACCTCCAGACCCAGCACCCCCAGGGATAGCACCCCTAGGGACAGCACCCCCAGGCTGAGCACCTGCAGTCTCCGCACCCCCAGGCTCAGCACCCACAATCACTGCACCCCCAGGCTCAGCACCCACAGTCACTGCACCCCCAGGCTCAGCACCCACAGTCACTGCACCCCTAGGCTCAGCACCCGCAGTCTCCGCACCCCCAGGCTCAGCACTCCCAGGCGCAGTACCTCCAAACCCAGCACCACCAGGCTCAACATGCTCAGTACCTCGCGCAGGACCAGAGTCGACAGCTACCTCGACAGGCTCGACCGGGTCTACCTGGGAAACACCTGAGGGAGCAAGAACCTGGGGAGGCAAGGGGTCTACCAAGGCAGCACCTGGCGTGAGGAAGAGCGGCGGAGGGGGGAGCGGGGCAGTGCGGTAGGGGAAGAGCCGGTAGAAGGGGACCTACTCGTCAAAGGTGACGTCCTGGGACGGCAGAACACGACACGAGGTGGGGTGGTAAAACTGCCAACCAGGCGCGTCAGGGGGGAAGCTAAGGAAGACGAAGAGAACAGCACAAGGGGACAACTTGTCCGCAGACAAGTCGCGGACAAAAGCCCGAGATCCCCAGACACGAAACGCAGACGCATCGCCATCCTTCCACGTCCACCGCAGAGTAGGGGAGGTCTCCGGCAAGGAGACCCGGGGCTGAAGGTTGATCTGATGCGCCGCGTACTGAACCGCGAACGGCCACAGAAAATGGGGAGCAGCCGCATGTATCATGGATGTGTGAGCGACGTCCATGACCATGCCAATGCAGCGCTCAGCAATCCCATTTTGCTGTGGAGAGGGCAGAAGCGTGAACGTCTGGCGGATGCCCTGTGCACGATAGAAGGCTCGTAGAAGGTCAGAGGAAAGCTCACCGCCTCTATCGGAGTGCAGACGCAAGACAGGAAAGTCCGAGCTGAAACTCTCTGTGAGCTGGAGACGAGCTGCGCGGATCCAGTCGATCAACACCTAAGTGACCTCACCCTTGCTGCGCAAGGGGAAGACTGTGGTGTAACGCGAGTAGTCGTCAACCACCAGCAGGAAGTAACGCTCGTGACCCTGTCCACGGACGCGGGCTGGGCCCCACACGTCCATGTGAAGCGTCTGCAGCGGAGCCTCTGTCGGAGGAAACTCGGAGGAGTGAGGAGCGGCGTGCTGCCGCCTCTCGACACAGGGAACGCAGGTGGGGCCAGGCCCCGGAGGAAGAGAAGGGAGGGACCGGGGGAGACCCGAGACAAGGAAACGAGAGGCCATGCCTCGGAGACGAGGCAGGGAGGGGTGACCAAGGCGGTGGTGCCAGAGGAGAGTCTGGTGAGACAGGAGACGATACGAGCAGGGGGCAGACTCAGGACCAGACCTGGACGCTACAACAAACACCTGACTCGACGCAGCTACCTGAGGAGACTCAGTAGTTAGTGTGTACAGGCTCGACCCCGGCTGATGGGTAAACGTGGCCAAGTGTCGGCCCGTCCTAGCACACGTACAGTGGGTCACTCGCTGACGCGCAAGAGTGAACTGGTCAACCCTTGCGTCCTGTAGGTCAGCACCACTCACCAAGTTCGTAGAGAACGAGGGGAGGTAAAGACCCAAGAGAGAGCCAGAAGGGGCCGTCGGACACGGTAAGACAGTGGAGAAGTGGGCAAGGACGGGAGCCCCAGAGGGGTCTGCCAGGGAGACTGCAACCGGCCGACTAAGCGGCGTGAGTGTGGTGCGGTCTCGAAAGAAGGAGCGGGAAGCACCAGAGTCAAGGGTGAAGGTGTGTAACACCTGAGACGACGTGGAACCTTAGAGAGTAGACTCACCAGCACCTGGGGCAGCAGACTCACCAGCACCTGGGGCAGCAGACTCACCAGCACCGGGAGGAGCAGACGCACTAGCACCTAGAGCAGCAGCCTCACCAGCACCTAGTGCAGCAGCCTCAATGCCCGGGTCAGGCGGAACACATAGGTAACAGTCATCCACATCACTAGTAGGCAATGCATACATGGCACTGAGGATAGCATCATAGTCAAGAGCATAGATATCTACACTCTGCCTAAGCAGCTCTACCCAGTCGGGGAGCTCAGCGGTGTTGCCAAACTCCGTACGCCAGACGTCGCTCAGACGGGCAAAGCAGCGGGACTCGGCGTGACCAAGCGTCCCGTAGGGCTGACCAGTCCGAG